AACTGCTGGCAGTTCATGAAATAGACAGGAAAGGTTTCTTTGTGAGGATCTGAAATGGTAATGATTCTGCAAATAAGAAAACTGTCCTGCTGTAATATTTAACTATCAAAATTCTGTTGCTTTTGGTGAAGGAAGAGGTAGAAAAAGTATCCTCTCCCTTGAAAATACTTGTGTAAGAAGTAATGGCAAAAAAGCTACTAAGACTCCTGTGGTGCTTGGAAGTGAATGTTAGACATTTACCTTTGATACATTCTTTTCCATATTCTTCCATTTTCTTCTCACATTAAATGTGACATTTTGACCCAAAGAGCTGTTGTTGCAATATTATTGTATGCTCTTAAAGAAGAGAGAAGTGATTTCACAAAAGCAGAGAAGAAATTCATATGTATTAGTTACTTTCATCAGAAGAGGTTGACAGGGCTTCACTAGTAAATTGTATTAATACCCTGCATGAGAGCTATTACAGGAAAATACAGAAGTGTAGGTTTATTACCATGCCCTGGTAACACTCATTGATCCTAGAAGTTTATTTTAACCCTCTTCTTCAATTTAGGGGCATTATAGTCTCCTATGCTGTGAGCTGCAATATTTAAAACCTCATTAAGCCTATGACCCTGCATTTAACCTGTTTGCTCACTGTTTCCTTCTCTGTGGTAGCAAAGTATTTATGTGCTGTAGGTCACTGCATTATTATTGAAATTCAGCCAGCAGTGCACAACCCCACCACCCCCCTGCATGGAGAAAAGATGCACAGATCCAAGATCAGGACAGAGATATGTGAGTATGTCTTTCTTGATGCTGTTGTAGGCAGTCCTACCAATGCCCTCTTATCTTGATATTAATGGAAAAGAGCCTAGAATTAGACTAGGCAGTAGAGCCAGATACCTGGAAAAGACTACAGACCTGACCATAGAATATGTATCCATTTTGGAAGAGACATGGTTTAAGGCTCTTCATAAACATTGTGTAATGTTTGGTGACAATGCATATATCATCTTTATTAAATATTGACAGTTTCCATTCTCCTCACATTTTGATAGCTTGCTCTTTTTCATTATGTTTTTATCTTGTTTACTATAGAAGACAAGTAAACATTTAAATGTTTACATGATTTAAATGATGGTAAAATTTATCCAAATACCATTTAAGAGCTGTGATTTCTTAAAAGAATTATATTACTCCCAAAGCTGGAGTCAATGAAACATGGCTCTGTCAGCCCACAAGCAGTGCATGACTGAAGAACAATTTGCAGTGTAAATAGTCCTCTGCCCTGGGTCTTTTCACAAGGCTTTATTCAATTCTGCCAGAGACAACAGCACACAGCAACAGAAATTGCTGCAGTGAGAATGAAAGGAACCTTCCCCACAGAGTGGCCCATGTACAAGTCCTGGCCAAGGTAATCAACCACCCTTCAAAAAAGCTTGAATTCTTGAGGCATCTGCATTATGACAAAATTTATTGGATGCTCCCAACCACTTCTGCTTGAGAGACAAAGCTGTATAATAATGATCTGAATAGGAGCAATGCTTTATCTGAAGTATTATATGCAGTAAAAACGGTGCAAAGGTGCAAAAACCACCCTATGACAATATGCAAATATCATTCACTTTTGGGGATCACTCGTGGCTGATTGCTTAATGGCAAACCTTACTGCTAAGATGAAGCTGGCAGAATTCCTGTGCAATGATCTCCTGAAATCTCTTGTTAATACTAAGTTCTGACTATGTACTGACTCCTCTAGAAGCTCTCCCAGCACACCAGGAAAGCAGGAACTGCTGAGATGTGCATGTTCATGTTCCAGAAGTACCTTTGGTACATCAGATACCCTAAGCCTAAAATTAGCCCAGTTTTAAACTTAGATGTGGCACTGGCAAACTTTACAATGGGTCACAAGTTCAACTACTTTGCTTTTCACAATTTCAGGCAATTTTATTGTGCAAAAATATCAGAACTGGCTTTTAGCCGGTGAAATATTGCTCTCCTGTTTTGATCTTCTGTTATATATCTTGACAGTGTCATCATAATACACAGACACTGTCCCATTTAGACCATACATAAGTGTGGAAAACATGCACATCCTGAGACCTTGCACCTCACCCTCAATCCCAGCACTCCTGTCCAGGCCACCATCAACAGAGAATCAATTGTCTTCAAGTTGCAACTGTACTTCATATCCCAAGAATGTTGTGTTGCTCTGTGTATACAATGATTCACCTAATTACCCAGCCACAACTAATAACAGAAAGATTTCTTTTTTTTTTTCCTCACAATCATAAAGACTCATTCTTAAACATCTGTGTGGGCTGATCAACTTTGTTAAATTTAAGACATTTAAACTGATGTTTAAAGATTTAAGACATTAAACTGAGTGTGAATCTGGGAAACTCATAGCTTCCCTGAGTCACGACCTGTGTATCTTTTCCAGAAGAGCAAGAGGCTGATGAGACAGAGCAGAAGATGATAGGCAAAGGGTTAACCCAAGTTTAACAGTGCTGTTGCCAGATGAAGAATTGTTTCCACCTAGTGAATTTTTGCTAAGTGTCAATGTGACCAGTTAAAGTTTTTGTTGCCAGAAGGGATTTATAGATTTACAGTTATGTTCTATCCCCTCATGTGGTTATCAAGGGACAGCTAGAAGTGAGACATCTGGGAAGGCTGGCTTGTCACTATGGCGACATCTGGCCTCCAAACAGGATTTGAGGAAGAGATCTCCACCACTGGACAGTGAAGAAGGAATTGAAGGACAGAACTTTAGGAGGGGTTAAAGGGTTAAAAAGAGAAAAACCTCCATTGTAAGGGGAGCTGAGCACATGGTGGAGAAAATATTTTGCTCCCAGCGCCATAACCTTTTTTCTTTATTCAGTCTTCTGTTGTATTTTTGATAAGGTTTAATAAACCTTCCTAAACTATTAAAAGTGAGTAGCTATTTCTTGCAGTGGGCCAGGAAATCAGCAATCATTGACATGTGTAGTAACTGCTGAGGAACAGGTAAGCAGTTACGGCCATCCAGAAGCACCAGTGTCATTTTGACACCTGACACATGAATTTCTAGACAGATTTGGTTACTTGGCTACTCCTACCTCAGCATTCAACCATCAGCGAGCATCCAAGACGGGCCAGAAGCAGGAGGACAGGCTGTGTGCAGAGCAGAAGGGCTGAGGGAGCAGGGGTGCAGCGGCTGCACAGTTTGCAGCGCACACTCGTGTGTCTCCTGGTACCTGCAGAGCTCAGACAGGCCCTGCTGCTGTCTGTGCAGCGTCCCAAGCCCCGCTGTAAGGAATGGCACCAGCCACCCCGGGGACAGGAAACGGGACACCCGACACGTGTGAGTGGCTGTGGGGAGTGTGTTCCCACGGGGAATCGGGGAATCGGCCTCTCGGATGGTCCGGCCGCCAGGGGGCCGCAGGGCACTCAGCACACAGCGCGTTCACTGAACACTGGCAATCTGGAGAAGCAGGCAGCTTGAATTCAAGCTTGATGTATTGTGTGTTCATGAAGATTAATCATCTTTAAACTTATGCTCATAAGCCAAATGCAGCATGCACCAACATCGTTGTTCTTATGTTTCATTTATGTCAACAGGATATTCCTGTTTTCTCTAGTCAAAGTCAGCAATGAAACACTTGACTCCTGCTGGCATCTTTCATATTAAAAAGGATTTCTCATTGTACTACCTGGGTCTTATACAGGATAGCTTAAGGGCATGCTTCACATAAAGTGCTTGACGATTCTGAAGTCAACAAGGCAGATTTTTTTTTTCCTACAGCCCACCGTTTATAACTGAAAAGACGATGAAACCTTCGTGCCCCGAGGAATGCGTTGACCCTAGGGCTGTCCTGCGGTCACTGTGGGAGGCCGAGGCAGCCACATGCCGCTCCCTCCTGAGATGATGGGATAAGGGCATCCCGACTGCGTCAGCAG